TTAGATTAAAACAATTTTTTTATTAAATTTTGATAGAATATATTATTGAAAAGTCACGAGTTTCGATGCATGATTAACAATAATTATTAACTTAAATTTTAATTCAATTTTGTAGTTGAACCAAACAAAGGCTTTATTTTTCAATTTTCTTTTGTTTTTGTATTGTGTTTTTTCCGCCAACCTTTCATTAATGAGAAGACTGGTGATGGATTTTAACAAAGAAAAAAAAATTAAAGTTGTGCTTGTAAATATAATTTAAATAAGTAAATGGGGAGACAAATTGAGAAATTTCAATCTTTGTTGATCTCTCGAAAATCCCAGTAGAGTGGGGAATGGAGAGTGTCGTCTCCGTCGTGCCCAGTTCTCTTGCCATCCATGCGCAACATGATTTGCAATTTGAAGTTTGAACAATCAAGAAAAATGTACCTCAGTATGGCTTGGACGAGTTGAGATTTGTCATCCTGTTAGTTATTCCCTTATTGAATTTTTGATGCCACAACATCACTCTCGTTAGCAAATGCACGTTTGCCAATACAGTATGCTATAAGGGACATATATTTCAAATGACATGATTCTCATTTGCTAACAACAAGCGACGTGTAGAAGTGTCAAAAATTTAGTAGGAGACTGATAAGTGTGTTTTTACACACTTATTGGACACTTAAAATGAGCTTATATTGATGAAAAGGCAAAATTTGAGTCATAATTATGTAATTATAGCTTTTGTAGGTAAAAACACCAAATTGAAAGATAACAAGACAAAAGAAAGGAAAATGACAAAATAGCATACAAAAATATGAATTTGGAGACCAAAGTGCAAAGTGAAAAGTGCTGAAAGTTAAAGGACATTGGGTTTAAATTATCAATGGTCTGATTGAAAGTATACAAGATCAAAGTTGAGGAATCTGACATGTAAATTGTGAAGGATTGGAATGCTACCGCCTTCCACCAATGGGCAGTACACCAAGCTTTCTGCGCTGGGGCCATTCTTACATTTTCAAAAAAAAAATGGGGACTGTTTGGCAATATTTTGGGTACGTTTATAGGGTTTTTAAAGGTGGGAATTTTGGCTTTTATCCCCATTCTTGAATCATTCATTACACATCCATTAAACACACCTGTGAGGCTGTGATGCCATGGTCCTGCCCACTTAGGCAATGATGATGGCCTTCGGCCCAACTACCAATTTCCTATCAAACTAAATA